TCATTTAAAAAATGGCCTCGAGCTCATTATAAAATTGTTGAATATGAAAAAAAAAAAATATAAAAAGCTCCCGACAGGCTTTACAAACTTTAATATTAGTTAATTAGAAATTTTTTACTAGGAATCTTTACAAAATATGTATGCACATGAATATCTTTGATAAACCACGCTATTCCCGCTACATATATTAAAAGTCCTAGTTCACCTCATAGACATACAAAAGAATACAAAAACTTTCCGAAGAGTGAACCTTTCGCTGGAATCCACCGCTGTACATTCATGGCCATTGTTCATAACTGAAACTGAAAATGGAAAGAAGAAAAAAAAACTAAGTAAAGCTGCCCACTCAAGCACTCAAACGAATAATCGTTGCATAGGTTGACAAAGAATTTCCTCTTGCAATTACATAAAGAATGCAAAATAACAGAAACGCAATAATACGAGCTCTCCGCATATGTAAGTCGAAAGTAGATGAAAGACAAAAAAAAATAAAATAAAAAATAATAAAGGAATACCAAATCCCATACAATTCAATTGTTGCATGCTGATGTGATTGCTGCCTTGGTACCCATTGACAAATGCATTTACTGCGCCATTTGTTATTCACGAATGCTGTCAGCCGCTCGCTTGCTTCCAGGTATACGCTCGCATTATTTTATGCCATTGCATGCTCGGCATACACAATGTGCCATCCGTTCAACGCCATTCACCATCCGTCGCCACGTTCGCCATTCGTTCTCTCGCCCATGTGACGACAGACGGTGTCAGTCACAGTGTTGCCAGAACTTTTTGGGCCGACCGGCTAGATTGGCAAAAAAAAGCGGCTAAAAACGGCTAAAATGTTTTAGTGAAATTTCACATAGCTCTGGCAAAAAACGGCTAAAATGTTTTAGTGAAAATTCACATGCTTTATTTAAATAAATCGCAAGAAACGAAAGACTAGTTAACACCATTAATTTATATCGAGTGTATATTCCTCATCATCAAATGAATCACTATTGTATATATCACCTGAATTCATTAATTTTAAGAGATCGTCATCTACAGTAAAATTATGGCAGCATTTTTCTTCACGTTTTAAACCGTATCTTATATATAAAATAGCGTTTAAAGTTTTAACGCACATTGGATTTCTTTGCTTAGTTTTTATTATATTCATTGAACTAAATATTCGCTCTACTTCTGCATTCTTAGGCAAAACAAGAAAACTAAAAACTAGGTTGCAAAGGTCAGCAAAAGGGTTTTCTCCTAGGGCATTTCGAAATTGATAAACTTCGGCCCAAAATTTTACAGTTGAGTCTAAATTACTCCAGGTATGTAACGTTAACCGTTGCCATTGCATTTCTATGGATGTTATTTCGTCGGCATTATATTTGTGGTTTTGTTGATGTAGTTGAACAAATACTTTTGGTTTAATTACTCTTAATGCATTTCCAACCGAAAAAAGTCAATTTTTTTTAGTGTGGCAATATTTGTAGGGAGGCGTTGGCGTAATTCCTTTATTAAAGTGATAATAAAATAGCGAGAATTTTCTCGAATTATTTTCTCGGCTTCGTGGTCAAAAGCGTTTGTGCTTACTTTTGTTTTTAAATACTCTTCAAAACTGTGAGAAAACTGAGGAAATGGAGCAAGGTATGGTTCCAACGGGGAGCATATAGGATCAAATGTGTCCGCGCTAATAACCACTAGGGAGCATAGATGCGAAAGTAAAACATTGAGTTCATTAAAAATCTTCATTGGGTCTGCATTATTGCTTTCGAACAACTTGTTTACTTTTTGCACCTGAAAATTAGGCAAATAGTAAAATCGGCTAAAAAGGGCTAACTTTTTGTTACAAACCGGCTAACAAATCGGCTGCCGGCTAGATCGAATTTTCTCCGGCTAGTTGCTATCAAAACCGGCTAAATCTAGCCGGAAAACGGCTAAAATGGCAACGCTGGTCAGTCAGCGCTGGTCGATCGATCGACTTTGTGTGTGTGTGTGTGTGCGTGTGTGTGTGTGTGTTGCCTGTTGCTGTTGGCTTAATGTGCTCGGGGATGTTGTTGTTGTTGTTTTTTTTTGCAGCTGGTGCTACTGGTGCTAGTGATGTTGACGTGCCTGAGACTGCTTGCATGCCAAAGGATACTTGAGCATGGCAATTGTGTGAACGTTCCACCCTTTTTATTGCGGTTACATTTGCAACAGTTGTTGTTTGTTTTGCCACTGCAATTGTTGCTACACTTATTGAATTACTCAAGCACTTAAGTGCATGCATATGTGCCATATGGAAATGAAAGAGCGTACAAGGATTTTATGTTTATTATTAGCACAAAAGGAGGAAATCAATTTGATCCAACAAAAGTCATGTGGTATACATACATCCTTGCATACATACATACCGAAAAGCCATACGAGCTTAAGTCGAGTTAAGGCTTTTGTCTGAAGAAAAAATCTTTGATGAGACTTATACATTTTTAGCATAAATTTCGTAGCGAAGAAAAAATTATTACAAAACACAGAGACAGAGACAGAGAACTGTCGAATCGGACTAAAAATGTACCAGTTAGAATGGGGTAAGAGGTCTGAGATGGATCTATACAGCGAGAGTACGGCCTATGAAAGCGTAACGAACGAGAGGTACTCATATGCATAACTGGAGCCATGAGAACTTGTCAAACCCAATGCTTGGAAGTCCGTCAGATCTTACATTTTAATGGAGGGACCTACAATTTCGGGCCGCCTCCGATTGCAAAATATTTTTATGAGAAGCTTCTTTAGCGGAGGCACCTCGCCGTTAGAAAAAAACTTTTAAAAATTAAGGTTTTGGTAGATCTAGCCCCTCTTCATATTCATATGCAGACTCAGGCGGAAAGGGCTCTACTAAGGATGACTGGTATCAACATCGGGGTAGAAGGGTTTCTTAGTCTTAAGAAGATCGATTTTCACACGACGCAATTCAGCTTCACAACTCTCTGACTAATAAGAAGAGCTACAGTCGGATTCCTACATTCGCTTTCGGTAATTTTGATAGCCAAAATTCTTTAAAAGAATAGCAGCTGCGCCTAGTTACATGCCACTCATACTATCACATTTACACATTGCACCTATCACTTTTCTATGTTGTATACTTTTAGGCCCCACTGATTTTCATTTAGAGACATTTTGTGAGCAAAAATTTAGCGTAGAGATTGTCAGAATTCCAACGCTGGGCAGGCACTTAATTAATGGCAATTATTTGTTTTATTTACCACTGG